CGAGGTTTCTTTAAAAATGACATTAATATATTTAAATATTTTAATATGATTATTCTATCTGATCTCTTGGCATATTTGCTCATTGACTATTGGTAAATTATGATAAAATATCATTTTCGTCCATTCTATCATTAATTTTATTATGTTGAGTGTAATAAAACCTCATGTTGGACCAATCTAGACGTGCTTAGCAGTCTCAAGGCTCGGTATAAAAGGCCTAGATCCATATTGACCGATGTCATGTTCTTAGTTTGAGCATTATTGCAATGATAACCATTTTATTTTATTCAATATTGGAAAGTACGATCCTGTCCCTTGGTCAAATCGAACATAGTCAATACAGCAGTGTCAGAGATTATTTTCTCCCTCATGTCCCTTTTATTTTATTTGTCCTTTAGCTCATTTAATAATTTGTAATAATTTTAACTATGACTTGAAATATGTTATATAAAAGAATTTGTAATTTTATTTTATTTTGAACATTTGTAACTGACATTTATTTTATTGTACTTTGGGCATCATTATTTTAGTTAAACTCATTATATCAAATAGAACATCATCGCCTATACTACTTGTCTACCAGTTTTTAATTCCTTTTCCCCTAGAGTTAAGGCAAAAACTTAGTAAATTAAAACAACAAATATATCAGTTATATTTAAAATTCCACTATGCTCCGGTCTGGTAGAGCCTTGGCTAGTGGTGAATTCAACTCCGTTTGGGTTTATGTGCTTCATCGGTGATAACCTCACGGTTAGTTATCGGTGAACGTCACAGCGTGTTAAGAAGATACAACTTGGCTTTGGGATGAAAATTACGAAAGTATTTTTAAAAAGGTAAAGCAGTGTATAACTACACGACCTGTTTTGGCTTATTTCAATCCGTCATTACCAATTAAACTGTCCATAGATACTTCGCAATTTGCAGTAGGCACAGTAATTACGCAAATTAATAAACCTTGTGCTTATGCTTCACAGTCGCTTATTATAACACAACAAAACTATGCATAAATTGAAAAGGAGCTGTTTGCTATTGTCTTTGAGTGTCAACGATTTCACCAATATTTATAAAGACAAACTGTTCAAGTGGAAACTGATCACAAACCATTAGTTACACTTTTTAAAAAACCTTTACATTCAATTCCAATCAGACTGCAAAGAATGATGTTGAAGATTCAATCTTATAATTTGAAGGTAGATTACGTTCCAGGAAAACAATTAGTTTTAGACACTTTGTCTAGAGTGCCATTACATGATCTTGAAGAAGAATTAGTCTTACATGTAAAATCATTCATAGAAAATCTTGCTATAGAAGAAACATAAATTGAATAAATTAAGAAAGAAACTGCAAATGATTCAGTTTTAAAAAAGATTATCCAAGTATATTTAACAGGTTGGCCTACCAACAAAAACTTAATTGAAGATTGTCTTAAACATTATTGGTGTTATAGGGATGAAATTAATGTCATTGATAATTTAGTTTTTAAAGGTCGTCGTCTTGTTATTCCATATAGTCTAAGGTCACAAATGTTAAACTTAATTCATGAAGGACATATGGGTATTAAAAGATGTAGAATTCAAATTAAAGATATTCTTATTTGGCCTAATATAACAAATGATATTAAGAATATTGTTGAAAGTTGTGAAATTTGTGTGAAATATAATAAAGGCAATAAAAGAGAACCGATGATAAGTCACCCGATACCTGATTTACCATGGCAAAAATTAGGTGTAGATTTTTTCTATTATAATAATAAAACATACTTATTGGTGGTTGACAATTTTTCTAAATATTTAGAAATAACTCTACTTGTTAATGAATCTAAGGCAAATGTAGTAATTAACCAACTTAAAACTATTATTGCTAGATTTGGTATACCATTGGAATTAATATCAGATAATGGACTACCATATAACTCACAAGAGTTTAAGTGTTTTACTATGTACTAGGGTATTAAACACATAACGACTAGTGCTAATTATCCACAGTCTAATGGATTAGCTGAAAGAAGCATACAAACGGTAAAGAAATTACTGAAAAAAGCAATGGATTTTGAAAAAGATCCTCATATTGCCTTATTGCTATACAGAAATACTCCAAAAGGTTAATTGTGTTCTCCAGCTCAACTATTAATGTCTAGAAATCTAAGAACTATAATTCTTATCACAACTTCATTTCTAAAACCTAAATTTATTAACACTGATGAATATAAAAATTTAATTTTCAATAAAAATAATTAATCAAAATCTTATTATAATAAAAAACCGTAAAATGAAACAACCCAGCACAGGGGGGACGCGGCACAGTGGTGACGTGGCATAGTTGGATCAAGTATAATGATATCTGACAGTGATTAAAATCACTATCAAAAAAAAACGCTTCGATGCAAATCTTTAGATAGTGTTTAATTTTAAAAAATTGGTGGATTATTCCAAAAGCTTCATAAACTGCTAGTTCCTTATTAATATCCTGATTAAGACAAAGTATGTCGAATAAAAAAGAGATTATTAGAAAATAGTATTTCCCATAAAAAAATTATATTGATCAATACACTTTTCAATAAGTTATAGCATTATAATGTTAAAAATGTAAAAAATAAAATTGAGAATTTTCACACAATAATAGCATTTGGTAGCCATTTTCACCTTGAAGATAAAATAAAGTCCGAAATTTTTTTTTTCCATGATAAAGTATATTACATTAGCTTTAATTTAAGATATATATAAAAGTGTCAGACTTTCCGGAACACTTTCAAAATTTAAGTTGAAAAAGTCAATTTTTTGTGAAAAAGTTGTCATTTTGAATCCCCCCCTGTAGGCAGGTAAAAAGTCAGATTTATAAAAAAAATATACCAAATGATAGGTAAAGACATCATGCATCTACAAAAAAAAGAATTATATTGATCCATACATCTTTCGAGAAGTTATAGCATTATAAAGTTAAAAATATAAAAAAGAATTTTTTTACAAAAATCGTATTTTTTTTATTAAGTTTAATGTCTGTTTTCACCATGAAGATAAAATAAAGTCCGAAATTTTTTTTTACCATTATAAAGTATATTACATTAGCTTTAATTTAAGATATATATAAAAGTGTCAGACCTTCCGGAACACTTTCAAAAGTTACGTTGAAAAAGTTCTACTTTCTATATGCATTTTTATGTTTTGAATCCCCCCTGTATTTAGGGAAATGGTCCGATTTAAAAAAACAGTATGTCGAATGAAAGATCTATATAAATACTACTTCTCATAAAAAAATTGTAATGATTCATACATTTTTCAAAAAGTTATAGCATAATAAAGTTAAAAATGGAAAATACAAAATCGAAAATTTTCACACAAAAATAGCATTCGGTAGCCATTTTCACCATGAAGATAAGATAAAGTCCGAAATTTTTTTTTTTCATGATAAAGCATATTACATTAGCTTTAATTTAAGATATATATAAAAGTGTCAGACCTTCCGGAACATTTTCAAAATTTAAGTTAAAAAAATTAATTTTTTGTGAAAAAGTTGTCATTTTAAATCCCCCCTTGTGGGCAGGTTAAGGGTTAAATTTATGAAAAAAATATACCAAATGAAAGGTAATGATATTATGCATCTATATAAAAAAGAATTATATTGATATGTTTATTTTTGAAAAAGTTATGGCACTTTTAAGTAAAAAAAATTGAAAAAATTTCGAAAATTAGCGATTTTTAAATTTGTAATTTTTTTGGAGGTTTCCCCCTTTTACGGGGAACGAGGGAATTTTTTTCAATTTTTAAGGATAATGTGTTCGACTAGATACGATTTGTGATCTTTTGACGTATCATTGAAAGAAATCGGTTCGGTGAGAGCTGAGAAAAAGTGGTAACAGACACAAAAAAAA